ACATTTGCTCCAAGACAACGATGTCAAATTTTGGGGTAATGATATCTAGCCAGGAAATTCACCTGATCTCAATGTGGCAGAACACATCGGATCAATAATCAAAGATGAAGTTGAAAAAAAAATGTCATCGGAAAGTGGACATAATCGATATCTTGAAGAAACGCTCAAAATGCACGTCGCAAATGTTTTAGCAAGCATGGAAGAAGATACTGAACTATTTGAAACTCTTCTATGCTCATATCCATCTCGATTTCGTGCTGTAAAAAATGCTAATGGTCGTCACACAGATTATTGATTATATTCATTAAAGAATAAAAAAAGAAACTATTTTCTAATGCCTTTAATTCGAATACTATATGATAAACTAGTTTTCTCATGACTTTCATGGATGAAAAATCGGAACTTTTCAGAGTTTGACATATGAAAGTTTTCCAAAGCCTTTGTATTTAGCATCACTAAACCCCGTTTTTCACGGGCTTTCATTTGGTATAAAATTCATCATACCTCCTATTCGGGATTATATCGTTACCCCCCTTGAATAATATTCTTTCCGACCCTGTATATGATTTGTTAGATCAATAATTGTTCTAATCAAAAATATAGTTTACCACTCAATTTATTTCATGGTATCTCGATGCAAAATCCGAAATATTGATCAAGTTGTCTAAATTCAACTTTTGCTCATGTACATCTTATTCATACAAAATTCAAATGATTCAAACATATCTTTGGACGGAAGAAATCTCCCAAACGTAGTTTTACTGGAAACATAGAATGAAACTTCGGTAAACCCTCTCTCTAAACATTCCTCCTTTATGAGCGCTTTCTTTAATTGAACACCTTCTGATTCGGTAAAACAATTTTTGCTGAGTTTACCTGCTCTTTTATGAATATTTCCTTATTTTAAATGTGAACGCACTTTTGTTTTTCCATCTGTATGCATTAACCTTGAGAATGCAAACGTGGATACAGGATAACATTAGTTAAGGTAGCTGTTTGGAAGTGGAGAAACAATTTCTATGGAACCTATTGGCTATGCGACTCAAATCAATGAAAATGTGAAAGATCGTTCAATCTTCTGGAGTTTTTATTTTTAATATGGAATCTCGAAACGACCTGGATCCTAATTTAGAAATTAATTGAATTAAGGATAAAGAACGTAATTAATCTCGTCGTAAATTAAAAGATATATTGGAATTTCCAATACGTAAAGCCACAAATATCCGAAAAGAAAACAAAAATATATTCCTGATAATGAATCGCCTTTGAACAAAAAAGTAAAACGTAAAGGGTATAATGATCTTAGTGGAACACTTGATGACAGTATACACCAATGGTAGAGTCCTGCATAGGTTCCAGTTTTTGAACCCGCATCCGATCCGAAAAAGTGTAAACCTGAACTCGACCCGACCCGATCCAACTAATTATATAGTGGTTTTTTCAAAACTACATCACTTTATTTCAAATATTGAGGAAAATAACACAATGCAAAATTTTTAGAAAGCTATTTATTTTATTTTATGAACTAAAACATCTCGCATCGCATGTATTCTTACAGTGTCTTAGTAATAGTATATAGCTTTAATAATTAATTATGGGAGGTAGAGATACAAAAAGAAATCCAATAGTGTTAAGTGAAAATAGATCCACTTAGATGAACATCATTTCTGGAGTCATTGACGGGAAAAGAAACAGATATTTTAGAATTTTGTGCGTAAAATTTAGCGAATAGTAATACGTTTAATATTTAGAGGATTGGCTTAGAAAAAGTGTATTACATGTTATTCTTACACTTTTCTGAACGTTAGTCGATAGAGTTTAATTCTACTGTTTCATTTTTTTACATATGCTTCATAGAATAAGATAGACAGCAGAAAACATATGTTCTGAAAAATAATACCCAATAAAAACTCGACAAATTTTTCGGTCGAACCCAAACCCAACCAGATTCGCCACAGTGTGAACCCGTACTCGCCCGCGGATCGAGTCGGGTTGCAGTACTCTCACCGATTGTTGCCTTATCAGAGAGCGAACGAAATTCCTGTTTTTGGCCCTATTTTCCAAGCATACGCGAAGAATGTGGCAAACGGATTAAGTGATACAGCACATTTTAAAACAAATAATGAATATTTTCAACACTTTATATTGTGAAAGCTGTTAGCGACATCCCTTTGGGATTAAAAATGTGAAACACGATATATCTGCTGTTATTAAGGACCGGAAAGCTTCTTTATCTCATGTATCTTCCGAACCATTTAATCTCTAACTTTTAGTGGTCGAAATCTCAGTAAGTAAGCTATTCATATATTTTCATGAGATTTGAATGACCTAAGATCAATAGTCCTTCATTAAATTGTCTTCTACGGTCTGTAGGGCTTCTGGAATCCGTCTGTCACGGTCTCTGATGCTTCTGGTATTCATCTGTCACAGTCTGTAATGGTTATTCCCGTCTGTCACGGTCTGGGCGGGGAGGGGGGGGAGGGGCGTGCAAATTTCTGCTTATATACACTTCAACACTCCTTTCAGTTCGTGTTTCACAAAACACGAACTGAAAGGAGTGTTGAAGTGTATGTAGGTAAAAGTTTTGCACCCCTACCCACAGATCGCGACAGACGGGGAGGAGCAACCATCATAGGGTGTGGGTGTGGGTATTTAATCTATTCAACACCCACACCCTTAAAAGTATTAAGTAAAAAACTACCGCTCGAATAATAAAATATCCATTACATTATCATATTGTGAACTCAATAAACTAATCATTTAATAGCGAAGAAACATAACTTGTCCACACAATTACAATGTTGAAGGCTTAAAATATAAACTTAGATTTTCCAATATTTCAGAAAAAAGCAACTACAAAAGAAATTTCTTAATTTTTTCACAACAGTAAGCTAAAGATGTTTTATCCAAAGTTAATAATACTATCATATCATTCAATTCTCAAACCTAATAAAAATACATTTACGTCGCATACATAATACCAATGTACACAAGTCGGATGCTTCGCACTGCATTCAGTATACGAGAAAGTCTCGAATACCATCTAGTTATCTATAAAATTAGATAACAGTTTAGAATGTTTCTCCGTGAAATAAGAGCAAGTAGATTCTGTTTAGGAATGGAATGAAAAATATCAACGCATAGAACTTAATTATATGACTATATTTCTCTAATGATCGAATTCCTTTTAATAAATTCGGATTGTGCAAAATTTAACTGTAACATATTGAGCAGTTATACTTGGCATTCACGTTAATTTTTCATTATACACTTAGGAGATCATACTTCATCGTATTTCGATTGTTATTCAACGAAAATTTCATATGACTAAATACCAATTGACAAAAACAAAAAACGTTTGAGTCTGATGTTGTGTTTTTCTATCTTATTTTGCTGACTCACCTCTTGCTAGAAGTCAAGTGAAGAAGAAAATTTTTAAACTAGGAGAAGATCTAAAGAACCAATGCCTGATATCGGGAGACTTTTTAACCCAGTGTCTCGTGACTCAATCAAGATCTTTGATAGTTCTACTGGGATTTTATAAATTCGGAGAGTAGTGGCAACTGGATTTAGTCAATTTCATTGAAACCATGCAATGTTCAACCAGAATTCTATTGGAATAATTTCTTCTAGATTTTTCTGATTCCTGTTTGCATGTTGCTGCCACCATTACAATCATTATGCTGAAATGTGTTATGACTCACTTCTTCACATAGAATAAAAGAAAATAAATGCACAATAATACGCTTAGCAACAAACGCATGAAGGGTATAATATAATATTTTCTCCACTTACCATTAGACATTTTTGTTTGTTCTTCATGCAATACCTGAAGCCGTTTATGTATATCTTGAATGATAAATCTAAATTTCCAGATAGTGAGAATATTTTCGGTACGAAATGCAGCATTCACTAGACGATATAGAAATGAGTCTTTAGTATACCAGAATATTACATTGTTTGGGTCATATGTCTTTTCAAAATCATCTATTTGCTGACATACTGATGAATTGCTTTGATAAATGTCACGACATTCTTTCAGCATATCTTCATAAATGTTTTCAGTTGGCCGAGGTGCATTTAATAACGAATAGAGTATTACTCGTCCCGAATCGAATGCCAACTTGTCATCTTGAATATCTTTTGTTGTTGTTCCAGACATATTTCCCTCTGTACTCGATGAAATACTGAAATTCAAATCATTGTCCTCTATCATTTTTATATCCGTCTTCAGCTTCATTAGCAGTTGTTCTGGTTTGGAATATATACCACGAACATGAGATGGATCTTCGAAGTCATGAAGTTCGGTCAAATAGATATAAAGAATACAAGGAAGACCAGAAAGTATATCCACTAGGTGACATCGTCCTGAGCCAAGAATTAAAAGATACTTTTGATCCTGAGTTGAAATTAACGATTCGATGCATTCATCGGGATTGTCGAAAAATTGAACATTGTGACCAGATTCGTTTAAGGAACTAAGGTGCTTATCCAAATACTTCTCTTCGTCTTTTGTTGACACCAATACACAAACAGTTGCTTGCGAATATTTCATTCTATTGCTGTCTTCTTAAAAGAATCTGTCAACACATTCGATGTTGGAAAGATTGAAAGTGAATAGCATTTGTTTGTGTAACAACTCAATGTTGCCAGGCCGAAAGAAAGGAGAAAGGTGAGTAATGAGGCAGTAGGAATGTTTCTGTGTGGTATGTCATAGAATTACATTAAAATGGCCGAAAACAAAATTGCGCAGCAGAAAACAGCGAAAGACATGTAGGGTGTGGGTGTTTGTCTTTCCTTCACCCACACCCACATTCACACCCATACCCACACCCACACCCACCCCCACACCCCACACCCACACCCACACCCCACACCCTCCATATACTTTCAAAAATAGCCATCAGACTATTTTTGTGAAGAATCTATTATATTCAAGATATAAATCTAAACAACTGAGTTTTACAGATAAAATACAATGAAACAAAAATTCCACCAGTCATTAGTATTTACTTGGAATAAAATTATTAAGTGCAATATTGAGAATTTTTGATTAAGTTTTCCGCAAGCTGCACATCTCAAAATCAAATAAAGATAGAGATAGAATCTAAGTATTCCATAATCGAAAGATATGTCAATTCTATTAGAGTACATCATAAAGTGTGATATGGAATATCTTGTTAAAACAATCTCGGAATTCAAAATAACATATGTAAATGATAAGAAAATTTTGCAAAACTAGTCGATATAGAAAGTACAGCTCATGCATGACAAGAACATTGAATAGGATATTCT